TGTTTTTGTCTTTTTTTTTTTTTTTAAATGGGTGAACTTAAAGAGGCAAAAAGCTTGCACAGTGTTAAACTTCTGTCAGATTTACTAGCAAATGATTGCACGAATAATGCCCTTTCTAGAAAGTTGTACCAATGGTAACATCAAGTTCAGAAAATTTAGGGTCTTTCTCTAGCTAAAGTTGACCAGTTCTATGTTAGGGCTACTCTGGTAGCTTGGGACTGAAAAAAAAGCTGACCATATCTGTTTTGCAGAGAAAATTACAGAGGGCTACATTCCCGCAAATCTATTCTGGCTCAAATAAGTGCCAGAGAAACGTAAGGTATCTGAATGTGCAGTATGTTCCCTCATTCCACAGACTTACATAAAAAAGTTATGGGTGAGAATTTAAATTCAAGATAGTAATTACCTTTGCATTTTTTCTGAATGCTTCCTTTCAGCGTAAATATGGCAGACTGCAACCTCAGCTACAGAGAGAACAAGAGAGCCCAGCAGCATCATGGCAGACTTTGGAAAATCTGAAGGGAAACTGCATCTGCTCTGCTTCTAAATAAGTGTAATAAACTTTTATTTCTCACTTTAGACAGAGCAGTGTGAATATCTGTTTGAGGCTTGCTATTAACATAGCATTTGAGTTCTCATTCTCAGTCTAACTGAGGATGCCTGAATTACAGCTTTCAAGCTGTGAGCAGGTCATTAGGATACTTCGCCCAGACCAATACCAAACAGTGAGAACTTCAGTTTTCCCAACCTAAGCTTATGGCTTGGAATTAATATTTGCTGTTTGGTTGCCACAGGGAAAGATTCAAGCAGCAAAATTATTTTGGTGGTGGCAGGAAGTCACTGTGAGTCACCACTCAGACTCCACCCCTTTGCTTCCACAATGTGAGGGGCATGGGATTAGTCTTATGCCACTAAGAACCCCAATATCCAGTAGTAATAATAACCAATCCTCATTATCAATACAGGCTGGGGGATGATGCAATAGAGATCAGCCCTGTGGAAAAGGGCTTGGGAGTACTGGTGGATGAAAAGCTGGACATGAGCTGGCAATGCATGCTCTCAGCCCAGAAGGCCAACCACATCCTGGGCTTCATCAAAAGAAGCGTGGCCAGCAGGTTGAGAGAGGGAATCCTGTCCCTCTACTCCACTCTGGTGAGACCCCACCTGGAGTATTGTGACCAGCTCTGGAGCTCACAACACAGGAAGGACATGGCCCTATTAGAACAAGTCCAGAGGAGGGCCACAAAACTGATCAGAGGGCTGGAGCACCTCTCCTACAAGGACAGGATGAGAGCTGGGGTTGTTCAGCCTGGAGAAGAGGAGGTTGGAGGGAGAACCTGTGGCAGCCATCCAGTGCCTGAAGGGGGCCTACAGGAAAGCTGGGGAAGGACTGGTTACAAAGCCGTGTAGTGACAGGATGAGGGGCACTGGTTTTAAACTGGAGCAGGGTAGATTTAGATTGGTCATTAAGAAGTCCTTAACTATGAGAGTGGTGAAACACTGGAACAGGCTGCCCAGAGAGGTGGTGGAGGCACCATCCCTGAAGACATTCAAGGTCAGGCTTGATGGGGCTCTGAGCAACCTGATCTAGTTGCAGATGTCCCTGCTTACTTCAGGGAGGTTGGACTAGATGATCTTCAAAAATCCCTTCCAACTCAAAGCATTCTATGATTCTATGAATATTCAGAACTCTCCCACCACTGGATGAAAAGAGGCGACCCACGTGACCACAAGGGCTGGACACTTCAGAATTACAAAGAAAAGTGATAAAGCCCACAGAACGGATGTTATTTCCATGCAGTTGTGTGTGTGGCAAGTCACCATATCCATCTCCTCTGCAAACACTGAAGAGCAGCGTTATTAAAGCCTCACAAAATTAAAAAATGCAGATAGTTTCCTCTAAAATCAACAAGGAGTAAAAGCAGCCATATTGCTTCATGATCAGAGGAGTCTGGGAAAATGGAAAGACATTTGGAAGACTGCTATCTCCACAACTTCAAATGCAACTTTTATCAGTTTATAAAATATTTTATCAGAAATTACGTTTTCCTATTTTCTTCAGGGATTATTTTGGGATTTCCAAACTCATACTGTTTCAAAGTCTCTTTGAAACTACACAGCAGTACACCACACACACCAGTCTGGAAACGCTTTCAGCATTAAAGAAAAGACCCAACAAGCTAACAACATCTCTTCCAAGAAGCTAAATTGACAAGTTTATTTCCTAGGACCCAGCTGAGCAGGACACTCAGGATACTACTTCAGCAAGCACAAGTGTAATCCCAGAGTTCAGTGACACTAGTCACGTCTCCTAAATCATATACACACTTAATTACCCTGCACAGAACCCCTTGGTTTGTTTTTTTTTACTCCAGTTTGTCTAGGTTCCACAAACAATAAAATGTATAAGCTTCCCATGTGACCTCTTGCAGACTTAAGGGGAAGGAACTAAACTTTGAGAAATATAGCACCTTCAAAACAGTTTATGCTTACAGGACTATAAAAAGTCAGTTACACACTACAGGATTGTAGCTGAAAAATAGTTTAGGATTATTTTCTTCATCTAGTGGAAGCTTTTCAAATCAAGTTCCAATTTCATGCTATCAGAATATATTTTATGGCTCTTTACAGTTCTGGTCACATGGAATGCTACTTTACCCGATATAACCATCTGTTAACAGTAGAAAAGATATTAAAGCAAATAATGGTACAATTTTATCTCTAGGAGTAAGATATTCTACTGAAAGTTTATACTGGGAAGACCCTACAGAATGCGCCAGACTTCTAGATAACTTTGGATTATTGTCCCCCCTCAGCAGGCTAACCTACTAAACTAGTTTCAAGCATCAGCTATTGATATGGCACCTTACTTGCCCTTCGTCTCGTTTTAGCCTATTTTCATATTCACATCTTCAACCCTGCAGTGGAATTACAAATAGTTTGTCTTCTGAGTAACACAGGAGTTGGGAAAAAGAGTAACATTTCTCTAATTCTTAAATTTATCTTCATGGCTCATACCCTCCTTTTCATCTTACTCCCAAGTTTGGCTTCACTGATCTTGAGCAGAAGTAAGTGAAGATTCAAATCAGTGCTGTTTTCTTGGCCCAGGAATCAATGGATTAGGATGAGTGATCTTCAGCCTTTCCATTGTGGCAATAACACAATTGCAAAAAGTAAAGAAAGATTCCCAACAAAATTTTTCACATGGCAGCTGGAAAGACTATGCACGGCGTGCAAATAGCAAAAACTCAGAACCTACTGGGGGCTAAAGTCTAACAAAATCATAATGTATTAGAAAGAGAGGCTACTGGACTCCTCCTTATTTCTTCTCTTGTGATGCCCTTTTCCTTCCTTCTTTCTACCTCCATAAGCCTTAGGTTCTTTTGCCTCCTTAAGTTTCCATAGGATAACACAGTCATTGCCAGGAAGGCAGGAACAATAAAACCAGCTTTGTTACTGAGAAAAAAAGGGAGATAGCAGAGTTTATTCCAAGACAGAATCACCTGAAGAGATTGACTGGTAGGTACTCCCTCTACAGTTATAAGGCTGCAATTTCCAACCAAGTTTTCTATCCTCCTGCAAAGAGCTCTATCCAAGTAACACTGAAAAGAAGCTTCCTGCCTTGAAACACCTGCAATTTAGAGCACAACAAAGCTTCTCAACATGTGGCCTTGTTCTCACACAATCCTCTAAGATTCTCAGTGAAACTGAGGCTGATTCCCTCCCTGGGGTGTACAGGAGAATGAGGATGGGAATTTTCTTTGAAATGAAAGCCTTGCTGGGAACATTGTCTGTGTAAATCCAGGGGTTCTTTCTTCAACAAGATCTTGCTCTTAAGAGTATAGAGAATCTGTTTTTAACTGTGATGATAGGTAGGATTTCATCATCCATCATCTTCCAAAGAGAAAGAAGAAATAAATTAAATCACCTCAGTGCTAGTTCTCTTCAAGTTACAAGATCACCTGCATTTCCATTTTCCATATGAGAGGTTCTTGTTCAGGTGCTGAGCTGTCTCCACCTTCCTGGACATGAACTTGGCATAACTGCCCATCAGGCCTGCTAGACACCATGCAAACCTGTCACTCCATTCTTGATAGTTAGCTAAACAGAGATATATATTATAATAAAAAAAATAAATCTGTGTCTCAGAGAAGAACAAAGAAGTCTGTTCCAGAATAAACAAATACCTGACGTTATTCTTCTAAGTATTAATCTTTTCCAAGTCTTTGAAGTTTGACAGTGCTATTTCACAGATTCCTATGAGGCTGCTTTACTGCTAGGCTAGAAATCTGACTGTAGAACTGAGGAGGAAAAGAGAAAGATCTCCAAAGAGAAATGAATTATTTTAGTCTGACTGGTGAGTATTCCTATTTCTTGTCACCATGAATTTTCTGTATCTTGCAAAAACAGAGGAGATATGACACCTTCTAAGACAGACAGAAATACCTCAATCCCAAATCTGTTGTCAAAAATCCTCTGCTCTCCTTGACTTTCCAAAAAATACTTCTGTATCTTCAGTGAAAGCATGGGCTCACTTTTCAAGCCATGACTTGCTACCTCTGCATTTCTGGACAAATTTTCTCTTCCCTGTTCTTTTCTATGTGGCAGTTTTGCAGCTTTTTAATAATGTCTTGGCCACCTTAGCAGCACTGGCAAAAGGCAAAAGAATTCCTGTAAGAGCAAGTAAGCCTCTCTTTCATGTGACACAGAAATGCTTACACTTCATTAACCTTTATTATAAACTAGTCACTGGAAAAGTTACTTTGCTAGAATCCACACTATAGTTTCACTCTACAAACCATGAAATGTCAGAATGCTAAATTACAGTAAAATACTGCTCACCTCTGTGTGAACCCAAGATTAATGATACGGCGCAGAAGAGAATAGCTGTGCTACTGGGAGCATAACAGGTCTCGATCACTTCTAAAATAGCTCATCAAGAACAGGCAGCAAAACGTCACAGATGGTTCCCAGAACTAAAGCCCCACTTCTCAACCTACCCATCACGGAGACATCGTATTCCACCAGCAGGGTCGCCTCCTGTCCGCACTGTTTGAGAATACTCATGGCTTCAGCATGTGTCGTTCCCAGCAGTCGGATCCCATCAACACTCAGCAGCCTGTCCCCGGGTTTGATTGTGCCCTCTCTGAAGAGAGATTAAAGGACTGATCTTTATTAATATAAGATAAATCAATTTGGAGAGAATACCATTTTTATACAAAGCAACTCGCACCCTCTCTGACATCCACCCCTCTTGCCTTAACACTTAACATTTGCTGTGACGGTGAGAACACTCAGAGGGCGCAGTGGAAAGGAAATTGCTTTAATTGGAAAGTCAGTGACTGGAAAAGGGCTTAACACATAGCTAAATAATCAAGTCATGTTAAATTGCAACCAAGTATAGCTTTTGCTTCAACATATGCTTGCTTTCTGCCTTGTCCACACAACTCCTCTTTCACATATACATAAACACCTCCTCTTCTGTTATTTTCTTAAAAATAAACACAATGTGCAAACACATGGGTGCAGAAGCAGACTGCAAAACATGAACATCCATTTATTGATTATCTTCAAAAATACCTCTTACTTGGATAATTCCATTTTTCTTTTCTTCCTACCCAAAAATAATTTGGCTATAAATGTATACTGTCTTCCAGGTGTATTTCATAAGGTATTCAGAATTATAATAGAAATTAAGTACTAGCACTGTCAGCTCAAGAACTGAGGAGAAAAACAAGGAAGCAAGGGGGATGAGGGTGGGAAGAAAGGGAGGGACAAAAGACAAATGCCTTCTGGAAACATTAGCTTCTCAATGTTTCCAAGGTCAAAATATCAACATAGGCTGCAGAAAATCAGACCGTTTTAAAGAAATTGCCCTTCAAGTTCCTTTAATGGTTCAGGGACACAAATGCCATTTCAAAAAATATAATTCTTACATATAGTCAATATTCTTTCTTTATATAGATACAAGACGGTATTACGTACACATATGTTCATTGGGACAAAACATAAAGCTGTACCAGGAGGTTGTCCAGGTGAAGTGACATGTGAACTTACATGCAGATAAGGACAAACATCTTAAAATAATACAACACCCGTCAAACGTACAACAAATTTTTTTCTGAAGAGCAAAAGACAAAGATTGTGGTGTTTAGAGTACAAAAAGCATAATTAAGAGCTACACTGGTTGTCTGAAGGTTGCAAAATACGTGTTCTGACCTATTGCAGGCATTTATTCTAATTATTTTAGGTTGATTTTTGAAAGGGTTTAATGGGAAAATCTCGAAACATGCAAACATACTAAATGAAAGTTAACACACCCTGATGTGCCTAGTCTCTCTGGTTGCCTATTACTGCTATTGTTATTAAAATTAAATGCATAAATCATGAATTTCAAAGGAACAGGTTTGAATATCAAACTACTTCACACCAAATCCTGACTTCTGTCCCCAATAATTCACGTTTGTCCATTTCTCTTTCACATGCACTCCAGAGATAGATGAATTGTACCTGTCAGCAGGCCCTCCAGGTCTAACACATGTTATTACTACAGGACGAGATTTATTTCTGTCATCGTGTGCTCCACCTAGGAAGGGAAAAGTGAGAGAAAGCACACCTTCATTTTATGCTATTTATGAAAGCTCATTTCCAAAAGGCAAGCCTAAATCTTGCAGCATGCACACTTACAGATGGGCTAAAAAGATAAAAAAAAGGTCAAGCCATTAATTTGAACCTTCGCTGAATTTTGCCTCAAATAAAACTGACCTACTGTGTGGTGGAGATGATTCTTCATAGAATATTTCTACAGAATGATTCTTGATAAATGTATATTCTTTACACTGCAGATCTGATCTCAGTGTGAACACTTACTGTTCTGCAACATTTGCTGCACAAAGAAAAAAAACATCTGTACTTCATGTATACTCAGAATAATGAGTGGCCACGAAGGAATTCATATATTAAACAATAAAAACACACTTTTCCCTGAAGAAACAAATAATTCTTCATTGGGATATATTATTTAACAGCTGCATGTCTTCTTTTGTTCTTTAAATCAGTGAACATACTTTTGTTGTAGAAGTCAGACCACAATTAGTCAGACTTCAGACCTAATTTATACAAATACTATATGTGCATCTTTTTGAGGAATCACAGTCTTCCTGATGATTTCAGTGGTATCAGTGGTAGTAAGAATCTGACTTATGTAAAATGAAGTTTGTCACGCTCTTGGCATAGTTGATTAATTACTTTCTTTCATAAGCAAAAATCAGAGCAGTTCAAAAAAGCAGCACAGGAATGTATGCAAAAAGTAATACATAAATCAGAGATTTTTACAAACTGTAAGCCATAAATCTTGAAATGATTTCAAATGATAAAATCTCATAACTTTTTTTGCTGATTTAGAAAACAGACAGATCAAATTTAATAACTCACCTCTTATAACAAAACCAAAAGTGTTCCCCTCTTTATGTAGAGTAACTTCCACGGTTCTAAAGATGAGACCTGATCCTTGTACAGCTGAAAAAAAAAAAAATCCCAAAACTTTATTATCATTTTTCTAATTATACACCTAGGTTTGCACCTTTTCAATTTAAACTAGCTATTGTGTTACTGATCGTACAACTGGAAAGACTCCACTACAGAACAGTTAGATTAAACACCTCTAATTAAATATAACTTATCCTCTTTTTGAGAGAATTTCAGGCCAGATATTTTGCAGATTGCCAGTGGTTTGGAGAAAGAGCCACAGATCCATGTAACAGATGAGGGATTTGAGCCTTGCTGTTTAAATTGTGGCAGAATTTTGTTTTTCTTACAGTTACAGTAGAGAGCTAAAAAAGGTGGAAATACACAGTGAGACAAAACCAACAAATTAAGTTCTTAAAGTTACCTATGGAGTTGGTTGTTCAGCCATGAAACCATTTATTTGTATCGCTTAAAGTCAAGACAGGGTGTGCCTCTAATGTTAGGTTACTAGATTAAGGTGAAAAACATATTTTGCATCATCAGGATTTGTTATTTTTTTCATAATGTAATGTGGTCCCTCATCATTGGTGAGTGAAAAACTGTTTGACTTGTAGTCAAGTCAATAGTTCCTCTGTAAGCACTAGAGGAGTGGTGTGCAGCTGGGTGAGGAGGGGAGACGCCTATTGCACAGACCAACACATTTGGGTGTGATGAACTACTTTACAGAATTTGAAACCACTGCTGTTAAGAGACCAGAGGACAGTTTACTATTAGCTTTTAGAGGACAAACTTTGGCAGGGTGCAAGAACTCCCTTTTCCAAAGGGAAAAGGACACTGGGCAAAATCACACACAGCGTATTGCAGTAATTGAAGTAATTGAACTACAGCTTGAAGTTCAGGACCGTGTTACTGGAGTCTACGATTCTATGAAGTCCATGCGGCTGTTTGCTTCTGAGCTAGAGATGTTTTACTGACCAAAAAGGACCAAACTACAGGGAGGAGAAGACAATTTCTGCCTTCATTTCTGTCAACAGAAAGTGGCCTTCTGTGTAGCTCAAGCTGAATCCATGCTTTGTGATCTTCTTGGTATGGCCTGTAACCTCTGCTGGAGAGAGGCAAAACTTGTAGTTCAGCAGTGAGGAATGGCAGACAGTGTCCTCCTGCTTGGGCAACAACTACTCAGGAGGCTGTCTTTCCACCCCAGCCTCAGCCTGGGAGGGAAAAGTCATCTTAACCTGTACCGACAACAAAAGGCAGATGGGAGGCAGGTGTGGCTCATGTTCCAGTTTAAAATCTTGAGGTGGTTCAGGTTGAAAATAGCAGCTGGATGCTCCTGCTGTGAACACTGCCAGAGAGGGTAGGAAGCACTAGGGAAGAGTGGGATTACTAAAGTACTGGCATTTCCCCATTCTGAAACCATGACAGTCCTCTCCCTGAGGGTGTAGTCATGAGGACAACAGTACAATTTCATTATGGATAGGGGCACGGAATGAGGTTCCAGGACTCCACCATGTGACCTACTGGAAAACTTCTGTGTATAATGAAGGCACTGTACCTACCTCGTTCACTAGAAGTTAATGGAAACAACTAGACTGCTACTTATCTGCAACTTTATTAGCTATGCCTGTATGAAGGGGTCAGAAATTCCAAGGACCTAAAGAAAAAGTAATGATTGCTACTATGATTTAGCATCCTTTTTCAGTGGGCAAGAGTGGCACACATGGCAAAAGTAGGTGAAATGAAAGGCAGCCCACTTGAATAAGCACAAAAAACAGTTGTAAACCAACTAGATCTCCAGCAAAATTATTCCACTCATTGGACTTCATTAACTCAAATACTGTGTTTTTGAACATGAAGTTCTTTTAACACAAGTGAACACTAATCAACAGAGAACATTCAAAACATATTAAGGTGGTTGCTAGGAGGCCATAAAAATGACCCAATATGTAATTAGACTAATTCTCCAGCTGCTAAAAAGCAGTAGGGAGTTCATCCTCTTCTGAGCACCATAGAGAGTGATGAATTTTTTCGCTTCTATTGTGATGAAACTCTTTATGTAAGGAAATAAGATCTTCCTAGCTGGCTCTACAAACTTTTCTGGCCAAACAGCAGCAAAACACATCTTGTTCACTCCAATGAGCAGCATACAGCCTTTCAAAGGTGTGACTGGTGCAGCTCTCTTGGTGCTAGACAGCCACCTGCCAGCCACCCCAAGCTTCCAACTCACCATTACTCTAGCTTTCACTTCATACCTGATAGTCTCAATTTGCACTGATTTTCTCCTACAGACACACAATCACAGGCATAAGCACAAAAAGAACGTGCAAAGGAAAGGCAAGGAAAACATTCAGCAGCACTCTGACTTCTGTGTCGGTGTAAACTTGTATCTGAAGACAATCCTACTTAACAAGAAGCCTTTGTTTCAGTCACACAATTCTTGTAGGTTTATGTATCCCCATGGCCTACCCTGCTGAGTCTTCTGCTCTAGAAATTAGATGTTGCCTAAACGTGATGTCAGAAAAGACTGGAAAGGTCTCAGAGTGGTGTTTATCCAGGAGAGTGGGAGGGTGTTGCAAGTGGAGAGAAGGCAAGAAAAAGCAGAGGCAGAACTCACAGATATTCATTGGTCTCATTTCAGAAGATCTTACTGTAACAAGAAGGATTCTCTTGCCCTAGAAGAATCTACCTAACCTAATTCACAGTATTCAAAATTGCAAACAAATGAACAAGAACAAAAAATACAGTGGAGATTGACAATTCTGCTCTGTCACTGATGGGATTTACATTTCTAAAACACCTGAGCATCGCTGAGAGCATCCCCCATACTGCCAGCTCTTTCATGTGGCTCCCATGCTCTGAGATAAGCCAGAGGAAAAAAAAAATTGAGAAAACAATCACTATTAAAAATGAAGATCACCAACCGTGGCCATTTCAGTGCAGACAACATATCTGCTATTCTGCATACAATTCAGTTTGCTCTGCTGTTACTTACAGACTGGAGGCAGCTCATACTCCACTTCTAAAACAACCCTCTCGCCAACATTTTTGAGCAGGCTGATGATCTCATCATGCCGAAATTTAGTCAGATTGATGCCATTCACAGATTTGATGTAGTCACCTACATCCAGCTGGTCACTCCTAGGAAAAAAAACACGTTCCATTTGTTAAGGAAACAAATCTGCTGGCCCAGACTAACTAAATAATTTAAATTCTTTAAATTATTGCATAGTTATAGTAAGATCTTTTCCCCCATTCATCTAGATTACAACAAGTTGATCTTTCAACCAGAAAGTGGTATTTTAAGATCTTAATCTAGTCTACCTTGTTAAATACTAAAAGAACACCATTGTTGCATGATGCATTTCTGGTGTACGAAACCGGCTGTACAATAAAGGAGTTGAATGATTTGACTTCATCTTCTTCATGTCCCCAACTTTCTCTCTCTCTTTGGGAAGCATCCAAAGCTATTTTTTTTTTTTTTTGGACTGTAGTTACCTTCATAGCTAACATCACAGATACCAAAAGACAGGCCACAGCCCAAAAGCACATGTTCTGCTCAGTCACTTGGAATGATTTATCTTAACCTTTCCCTTTTGACTTGTTTCACTCATGAATAACAGCTTTTTTGTTTCCACTGAAATATTAATGCTATTGACATTATGTAGCTGTGACTTTAGACTCTTTTTAGTCTTAAAACCAGCTGATAAACAGGTTTTTTTAAAAAATAAATTATGGTAGTACCATGGTTAGCTTTTCCATCTTATTTTTTACCATCAGTATTTTACATTTCTTCTCTTAAGCTTTTGTTCAAGGACAAAACAACACAGAAATCAAACATATAATTTTGAAGAAACTTAGTTAGTCTTATGATAACTTGCAAATATCTCATTGGGATTTCTAGTTTTTGTTGAAGTAGCCTTGAGGGAAGAGGGGGACCAGCTGTTACTCTTTCCTCTGAGCTTCTTGGTCTGATGGGCTGCCATTATAGATGCATCTAGTCACATATTTGTTAGTGACCTTTCTGATGCAGTATGCATTTCTGAAACAATCACATCTTATAATGCATTTTGTGGCTTGAGATGTGGTTACCTAGCAGCGATTCCTCCTTGACGAAGGTTAGATACTCTTGGTTTCCCATCCTTGTCGATTCCACCCGATACTGTAAGCCCTAGGGTGGTGCCTTCTTTTTTCATTAATTCAACTATTGTTGAGCCCTTGAATTCCTCTGTTGAAAGAAAATTATTGGCATTATTAAAATTTAAGTGATAACACAGATGTTGCCTTTCCAAAATGTCATCTACTTCCCAAGAAAATCATTGTGTGTGTTAATAAGAAATAACGTGTACATCTGGAGATTCTTTATGTTACAATTCACAAGTTCTGTCTGCAAGGCTCTGCATACAGATAAATCTGAGACATATGTTCCATAAAAGGTTACTGAAAACTACACAAATGTGCTAGTATACTGTGCAAGAATCAATCAATACAAGATGTGGCAATACAACTAAAGGTAGTTGTTTCACATTTTTAAAAAGCTGTATTTTCTCATTTTCTGCTTTCCCCCTCTGAAGCCTATGTTTTAAAAAGTACTTCAACTGATTAACTAAATAGAAGGGTAAAAGACAAAATTATATAAAGGTAGTAGAAAATTTTAGATCCACACTCGCTTTGAGGCCACTAGTACATGTCAGTGTTAATCAGAACAATTGAACATAACAAGAACCCAGGTCTTAACAGCTCTATTCCTTATTCTTACACAAATAGACCTCCACTGTATCTCTGTAAAATCTCTGCAGAACAGGTACAAAGTAAGTGAAAGCCTTTCACAGTTATAGCAGTATACAAAATTTCCCTCACCCCCTCTCCTGAAATGTGCCCATTTAGCATTCTTGGAAAATGCCAAGCTAATCTCACAGACCTCAACAAATGCAGGTCAACTGCAACAGAAAACCTTTGCTCTCAAAAGTGATGCCCTTATTGCACTTGGCTGGATAAGGCAATATATATATGCACAGTTCCAGCAGGGTTGCAACTATTTGGAAAGCCCTGAGGCAATCATATCTCATGTCCAGTGTTTCCAGTCAGAGAAGACCTAATGAAACCACCAGCTGTTGAGATGTTCTGGAAAAATGCACAAAGTCCTAAAGGTCCACTCAGAAAATGACAAGATCCTGGGAGGATCATGCATCTCTCTGGTCATGGTGAAGATGATCTAACACATCTTGACCTCAGAACGAAGAACAACAATTGCCCTGAATGAGAACTGACAAACCTAAGCAACACAGAGGTAAAGGCAGAGGAAAACACCCAGAAAGAGCTTCCAGCCCTGGTGGAGCAGCCTATGAACCTTGGCAGTATTTCTAATAGGGCTAACTGTTGAATCTTTTTGCAGACATCCTATGCAATGTTCCTGGCTCCTTTATAAGTGGCTCACAGGCTCTTTTTTCTATTCTGGCTGATGCTGACCTCACTGCAGTTATTCACATTTTTACCATTATACAGCACGACTTAAGTACATGGGCAAGAATTCTCCTATGCTTATAAAGCTTCTACTAAGACAAAATTCTGCAGAGTATTTGATCAGCAGCAAGGGTTGTTGAAATGAGTATTTAAAAAGTGGAAGGAGTATATGTGAAAAGACTACAGAAGACTGTGGACTGTTCAGAAAGTGTCTATACCCAGCCAGAAGCAGACAGTAGCACAGCTACCTGGTGCCTTCTCCAACTTGGCAGACAACAAACCATCACTTGGCATTATTTGACAGTTATTGAGCTTCCATGTTTGCTCACATCTGGCCTTTTTGACAGTTCAGAAAGAACAGATGTAATTACCGGCATCTGAACATGTAGACTTGCTGCATAGTTGTAGGAGATGCTATGGACCAAAATGCTGCTTTCAGTTTTATAAAAACTCATAATGATTACAAAAGTTAGCCATGGTACTTACTGCAACCAAAAATGCTGTACATTGCACCCATGATGCCACCACAGGTGTTTGGCCAGTGTGCCACACTTCATTATTCAGGGTTTACTCAGTCATGAAACGGAGAGAGAGGAATTTTCCATTGGATACCACCTTATCTCCCAAGCCAAATCCTTCCTCTCAGTAGTACAACCTGGTTCCGAGGACCATCTAAGATTTATTTTTTTTTTAATGAAAAGTTCACCAGAATGTGTATATAGGACATCAACAATGCACTGCACATGCCTAATCTTTTCCCACAGCATAATACTGCCATGTGTTTTGATCTTTTATATAGGTTCTGAGTTTGCAGTCCAATGCTGGGAAACACCCTGCTGCCTGAAGCGATATGTGGAACAGAGGATCTACGCACTGTTTTGAGCTAACTAAGGGTTACGCAGTTCCCTGCAACTACTGGCATGGAAAGTAACGAGCAGGCTTCTTCCTTCCCACCATCTAGTCTGACAAGTTTCTGTATACCTCTGCCAACAGAACAGGGACCTCTAAACACTCTTCCTCCGTAGGCAGGAGGGAAAGAGGCACCAACAATGCGGAGTGGTGGTATGAAATGCTTATTGCCCAACTGACAGTTAAGGTCATCTAGGAGTATGGAACAATTTCTTTACGTTTGACCCTCTGGAAGATTTTGTAGCTTTTGTTGTACATAATCACAGTGGGAAGAAATTAAACTACCTAAGCTGCTTTTGCTTATCAGAGACTGTTATCCCTGTAAGTGCCCTGCACAAGGCCCATTTAATAGCCCAGTCTCTCTGATTTTCATCCTTGCTTTTTTAAATAGCACAATTTTTTTTTTCCTTTTAATAATATATATTACATGTTTAGACGTCTGCATTGCTCCAACATTATTATTACAGACTAATCCCACTGGAGTTATGGAAATGCACAATATCAGAACAACTCTGGGACCCTATTTCATATCCAACAAGCAACTACATGTGTACACACTATTCCCTAACTAAAGCAAGGCCAGTCTCTGTTCTCTAGTTAACACAAAGCTATGCTACTCTTTGTGGGTTAAAAATCAAACTACTTCATGTATCACCTCACTCACAACTCATTATTTATGCCAACCAGCAAACTCCTAATTAGATAGAAGTCTCTGGAGTCTATTCTTTCCTATATGTACTCCCACATTGCTAATAATATTAGCATAGCCAGCATCATAAGGGAAGGAAAGAAGTTATTTCCAGATTTCTTATAATTTATGAGTAAACCAGGAATTGAATTTACAAGTCCCTTGCTTAGTGGTAAACTGAATATAGAATATGAGCTTAAGAAACACCTTATTCTGTAACAGTTTATGGAGTATCAGGTACCAGAACACCACTCCTTCAGTATAGCTGTGTGATATGAACCAAATTAATTATTCTAAAATGTAACCATGTAGAGAAAAGATGGCTCCAAGTCTATAAAAAGCCCAAATCAATACCATTTTACACTTCAGTTGGAAAAATGCACTTGAGAACTTCTTCCCCTCCCAGCATTAAGCACTCCAGCAGCACTCGGGGAAATGCAGCTCACGTTGGGCCCTGCCTTCCCTTGACCTGGTGGGCGATCCCGGGCGGACGCCTGCCCATGCTGCACCGGTTGTCCTACAGCTTTCCTGGCAGCTACCTACCTCTGGTGTGGGGCTTGGGATCCTGCTCAATACTGGAGATGGGCTCAGCAAGGGGAGAGCAAATATGCATACTTGTACACGCATGCATACTTGTATACACAGGAAAACATGAGATGGAAAAGGAAGTTTCTGCTCCAGAGAGCTTTGTTTAGATCTCCAGAAGCCGACCCAGAAGACTACAGGGATAATCAACATAGCACAAGAAACCTTCAGAGAAAAACACATGCTCAAACACAAGACTGGGCAAATCTTAACTGTGAGAAGATTAATAACTTGCAGGTAAGTAAAATCCAAGAAACACCACATCAAATTAATTTTTCTTCAAGGAAAATAGCATCCAGATAAAGCTTCTAGAATTTTACGCATGACCAGACTTTTTGTCATTCCCTGCCTTTTGATGTATGCAAATAACATGTTTTAATGAATAAAAAGCATGGAAAATAAATTGACTCATGAGATTTCTGAACCTGGAATATACTCATTTCAAAAATTAAATACTTGCCTACAGAAGAGCTTTTTTCACAGAACAACATTTGAAAGCTGAGAGAACTCTAATTGAAAGTTTTGTCATCTATTTCCTATATTCCTACAATTTTACATCTTAATTTACATATTAAGGTAAAATTGGAAAATATTTGCTTTTAATCCAGATATTGTGGGTCTTTTCCATCCCTTCTGTGAATATTTCAATTCAAAATGTAAAAAAATGCCAAAAAGCTCCATGATCAGGTTAAGTGCTTGTATCTTCCACCTAATGAATGAGTTTTGTTCAGTACAGCCCGGAGAGGGCATAAATGGAACTTAACCTAGAAGTAAAGAAATACTCGCTGTTTATTGATTATTCCCCACCGAAAGGCATACATAACCAATAAGTAATTGGCAAGTCTGTTGAAAATACAGCCAATGCTGTCATTGTATGGATTTTCCCTGCCCATAAGCAGAAATTCTGCAGAGGAAACATTTTGCTTTACATTCCAGTAGTCATCTCATGGCTTAATAAGAAATCACATAAAGATATAGTCAATTCTTAAGAAATGGATAGCAGTTTGTTATACTGGGGACATCATAACTACTCTGTGTTTCATGTCCTGTGAGTAGGTGTATTCCTCTGAGTGTGACAAAAGGGATGTCAAGAGATGATGAACATACTATTTCTTGTTGTCCTTTTCATGACTGGCTGTCACTAACTCCAAAACCATCTAGATTTTTATTAAAAACAAGGAAACTAAACCACATTGATGAAGAGAATCTGAAAATATGAAGCTGACTGTAACCTACTCTGGGTTGTCTTCTCCAGCCTGTGGAGGGACAATCCCCAAACCAGTCCTGGTTCAGACTGCAGGAACTCACAGCAGAAGACACACTTGTATAAGGTGCATCAGAGAACATCTACGAGGCCAAACATACTACAGTTACCAACAGGACTATAAATTTAAACCAATGTCAGTTCAGGTTGCCTTGGGTCACTGGTTGGGTTAACATGACTCTGGACAACTTGCATCAGTGTTGTAAAGGTGAAATGTTGCATCACTGTCAGTGAAAGCAAGGGAGATGGGTGAGGTTCAGGCATTTGCAAAAAAAAATGCCTCAAACAGACTCAGTTCATACCAACAGCTATTTCCGTT